TAAAAGTAATTAAAACAGAAAATTCATTGTATCTCATAAACGAAGACAGATAGGACATATATTTATATGACTTTTTTTCATTATTTTTTAGGCATACAATCAGCTCCCGAAGTGGGTCTCATAAGTTACGAAACATCCTGTATAAGGAATAATTATAGTGTACAGGTGGTAATAAGTCTATCGTTGTATTTTAGCGTTGCGATTGGTCTCACAATTTTGTACACTCAATTCGATATTATTTAAAGTTTCTTAGTCTCCTCCTTGGTAGTAAACCCAAAGTTTTGAGTAATGCATCGTTACAGAACATTTCATACAGTTTAGTTTCTCAAAAATCGCATCCAACATATTTTCAACCAACCTTATTTACCCTCTTTCTATTGGTATTTTCTTAACCTTCGAAAAACCGCTAAAGATCCTCTCGTTTCATTTCATTTAGAATAAAGTTAAGTTTGACTTCGTAATATTCCTGAGGATAATATACTTCATGTTCAGTTTGGAACACTTGAAACAAGGCACTTGAGCCACTTTCAGGATAAAAATTTTTATCGTTCCATTAACCAGTTATAATTTCGCTTGTACAAAATCTTAGTGACTTCAAATATATTAATAATATAATTTCTTTAAAAATGTGTAAATATTAAAAACAGCTTGATTGTTATGGAGTATGGACTTTCAAAATAAACGTCTCGTATAATTTCTCTCTCTCTCTCTCTCTCTCTCTGTGTCAAGCAGTTTCGACTCGTTTCACGCGAATCTCTCTGCGCTTGAAAAATGCGAGGAACGATCGAGAGAAATCGACGTGCACACGCACGTACCGACGTTGAAACATATCGCCGGGCGGCGTGGTTTCGTGGATCACCGTGGGTAGACCCTCGAGATTCGAGAGCATCCATCGAGAGAGAGAGAGAGAGAGAGAGAGAGAAAGAGAGAGAAATCTCCGGTGTGTTACGGCCGAAGGGGGCTCGTTGAGCAATTGCCTCCCCTATAAATCAATAAGTGTCCTCGGGCGACCGGCACGCGGGCATTCGTTTCTTGGAAACGCCCTCGGCCGAAAGGAACGACCGATCGCCCCTGAACGAAGATTTTCAGATCGTATCGTGGTGATAAACGAGATAACCCCGGCGGCGTTCAACCGATTTCGAACGTGGAACGAGCTCTCTTCGAGGAGAGACTTGAGTCGACTGCTGGTCGTGCGATTAAACTCGTCGATAATACGGGCGCGACACTTTGCAAGTTCGAGCCTAAGGTTGGGCTAGTTACGGACAAAGTAGCCGGAACGTTGGTCCCATTGACAATTCCCCGTCCAGCGAATGGGAACGAAACGAAACGAGGCGGCTGCTGATTATTCTCGCATACAGATACGCGGCGTGTCTCTGCGTGCAGGGTGTCCCATTTTAGCGTTGTCACTTTGAATGCCCTTTTGTGCCCGCCGTTCGAAGGAACGACGGACACGCTCGCCGCGGCATTGAATCATTTTGGACGAAAAGAAAATCCGAAAGACTTGAGTCTGTTCGATGTTCTCGCGTAAATGCAACGTTCGATAGTTTAACGCTGGAGTTAACGCTCGAAAAGTGCTCGAGCAAAAAACCAATTCAGATTTTCTTTTAGAAATTTTATAGACGCAAGAGAATAGATATTTATCTAGATTTACAAATTTTTTTTCGTACAGATGAAAAATAATCAATTTACGCTACTCAATGCAAATGAAATAATTAGTTTAGAATTATTTGGGGAAATTTTATAGACGCAAGAGAATAGATCTTTATCTAGATTTACAAATTTTCTTTCGTACAGATGAAAAATAATCAATTTACGCTGATCAATGCAAATGAAATAATTAGTTTAGAATTTTTTAGAAATTTTATAGACGTGAGAGAATAGATCTTTATCTAGATTTACAAATTTTCTTTCGTACAGATGAAAAATAATCAATTTACGCTAATCAATGCAAATGAAATAATTAGTTTAGAATTTTTTTGGAAATTGTATAGACGCAAGAGAATAGATCTTTATCTAGATTTACAAATTTTCTTTCGTACAGATGAAAAATAATCAATTGACGCTAATCAATGCAAATGAAATAATTAGTTTAGAATTTTTTAGAAATTTTATAGACGTGAGAGAATAGATCTTTATCTAGATTTACAAATTTTTTTTCGTACAGATGAAAAATAATCAATTTACGCTACTCAATGCAAATGAAATAATTAGTTTAGAATTATTTGGGGAAATTTTATAGACGTAAGAGAATAGATCTTTATCTAGATCTTTGGCAAAATGTACAAATGAAAGCTTGTGTAAATTGTTACGAAAACATTTCGTTCGTTCAATAGATTAACTAATATAGAACTAAAAGTGTTTGAAATAATCAATTCAGAATTCCTTTTAGAAACTTTATAGACGTAAAAGTAAAAAAAAAAAATACATCTTTACCTTCGCCTCGAATTAACTAATCTTTCGTAAAAAACGAAAGCTTGTGCAATTTATTGCGAGAACATTCCGTTCGTTAACGCTAGAACTAAAAGTGCTGGAAATTAACCGAAATTCAGAATTACCTTTTAGAAAAGTAAAAAAATTAGTATCGTTCCCTAGATTTAACCCGACTTTTCGTAAAGCGTGCAAAGCTCGTGTAATTTATTTTACCACGAACGTTCTCGTTCGCACTCAACCTAGAATAGACAGAAATTTCCAGTCGCAACAAAAAACTCGACGCTCCAGTGATCAATAATTCCATCGTTAATTGATCTGTCGCTCCGACTCGAAAACTCGAAAACTATCCTCCCGGGAGCCGCAACGAAAATATTCGTTGATGGCCAAGTCCGAAAACAAACAGGCAGATAATTGAATCGAAAATGTCAGGTGTAGGATATTCAAAAGGTATTGAAAGAGAGTCGCCGTTGTTTG